CATTGCCCCCCCCAGGCAGCCTGGGCTCTGGGCCTGCGTGTGCGGGGAAGGGGCTGCAGCCCAGGCACTGTCGGGAGCAGGGCTGATGCAGTGCAGGGGACCCGGCCATGGGAGGTACATTGGGAAGGGGCATCTCCTCCCCGCAGTGCAGGGAGTGACCCCAACTGGACCCGAGCACCAGGTCAGTGCTGCCCCGTGCTGCCATCCCTCCGGCTGCTACATCTCCTGTGTCTCGGTCCCACAGGTTAATGGATCCCAGTGGAGCCTGCACCGCCTGCGGAAGGGCCAGGAAGTAGGAGGGGGAACAGCACAAAACAACGCATTACAGCCCATTCGCATTACAGCCCAAAAGCTTGTCCTTTTTGATTTAAAGAAGTTTTTCCTGTTCCAAGCCAAATCAAGTCCAAATACAAATCCGTGAGTCAGTCCAGAACCGTAAGTGGCCCCACAACTGGCAAACATCCTCCGCCCTCACCAGGGGCTTCAGATATTTCCAAAGTCTTGGCGGGCATCCTACGTGCAGGCCCAAGCCCAGAGGCTGGGGTTTGGATGCCCCCAAGTTTCGCCTGCCCTCAGCTGTATGGCCGCAGGAGCAAGCTAGGGAGGAGCCTCCTGTTTCCATAAAGTGGGCTTCAAGCCCCAGCACCTCGGCGGGTACTAAACCACGCCAGAAGAACAGTTATCCCTGGGAACGCTTAAGGAAAACTGCCTACTTGAACCCAGATACATGGTGTTTCTCTGATTTAGCCCATAGCACTGCTCTTATTTTACCCTTCCAGATGCCTTGATCTTGCCAGAGCAGAGCCCCTTGCTGTGGGACAAGAGACAGCTGGCGTGCGAAGTGAGAAGGGCTTGGCTGCAGCCGAGGGGGAGTGGGGAAAGACCCTGTCTGACCCCAGCACTCTCCTGCCCAGGGCAGGGGGTTCGCAGTCGATCGTCTAATCGGTCTCTTCCGACCCTAGAAATCTATGAAACTATGAAAGGTGGTGGGATTTGGGTGCTGCTTGTTGCAGGTTTAGACCCAAGTTTGCTTTTTAATAAAGAGCAGGCAGAGGCCAGATGCCCTCGGCGATGGTTCTCCCCAGGCAGACGGGCAGGGAGCGCACTGAACTGTGCAGTGCCTGGGTCAGGCCCGAGGGCAACCTTTTGGCCAGCTGAGCGATTGGGGCCGTCTGTAGCAGTCCTGGGCTCTGGGGCCCGGCCCCAGACCTGCCTGCCCGCCACATGTGGGGTTGGGTCCTGGGCTTGAGAGGCGACCTTGTGGCTGCCTATAAGTTCATCACGGGGGCACAGAGGGGAATTAGTGAGTATTTATTCACCAAGGCGCCCCCGGGGGTTGCAAGAAATAATGGCCACAAGCTAGCAGAGAGCAGATTTAGACTGGACATTAGGGAGAACTTCTTCGCAGTTCGAGTGGCCAAGGTCTGGAACGGGCTCCCAAGGGAGGTGGTGCTCTCCCCGACCCTGGGGGTTTTCAAGAGGAGGTTAGATAGGCATCTAGCTGGGGTCATCTAGCCCCAGCTCTCTTTCCTGCCTATGCAGGGGGTCGGACTTGATGATCTATTGAGGTCCCTTCCGACCCTAGCATCTATGAAATCAGCTTGTGATCTAGCCTGGGGCCAGGTGCCTGGACAGCCCAGGTCAGGGCCATGGGCAGAGGCAGCCAAATGCTCGGACCTTTGGCCCTGGACACTGCCTCAGACACTGCGATCGTTTTTTCCCTTTTCTTCCTTTTCTTTCTTGTGGGAGGGGGTGAGACTGGGTGAGGAGAGCTTGAGTGTAAGAGCTTTTATATATATATAAAAAATGAAGTGCATGTGTGGATGTGAGTTTGCTTATAACTCGAGAACAGCTGGTGCAGCCAGGAGCGGGGAGGATGGAGTGGGGGGTCTTCCTTGCCCTGCCCTGCCCTGCCCCACCGCTGCAGCAACTTGCATTGTGGGGCGGGTCTGCAAGCGTGGGAGTTGCCCCGCGGAGGTCAGACCAGGGAGGAGACGTCCCAGGCAGTGATGGGCGGTGTGGTGCGTGCCCAGGCCTGGGCTGCTCACAGCCGTGCTGGTCCAGGCAGTCAGACATTTCTCCACCCCACGGGCCTGATGAGGCCAAAGTCAGTTTCTTTGTTCCCAGTTCCTTCTCCACGGCAGATCTGTGCTGCAACCCGACTGCGCTGCAGACCCGGTTGCTGCCGTGGGTCCATTGCAGACATGTTCGCCTCTTGCTCCTGCACTTCGCATGAGAGGTCTCTGCTTTCTCCACCACCTTGGAGCCTCCTGCCGCAGCTCAAGGGAGTGCGGCTCAGCCCAGCAGAGCTTGTGACATATGTGCTCTGTCCATCCATCCACCCACCCACCTAGCTACCTACTGACCTACCTTTCCATCCATTCACCTCTCTTCATCTCTCCACCCTGCTCGGGTCCAGCCAGGCCTGTGGTGTAACTGTGTGGGAGAGAGGGACCTCTCCTTATGCATCTCAATACCCAAAATGGGTGACCGGAAGGCCAGACTCAGAAGATTCCTCCATCCCGCAGCACCAGACCCCGCGGTCTTGGCCGTCACAGGTATCCCGTGTCCACCCTGTCCTGCTTCCACCGCCGGCCTGTGCGGGGCTTCCCTGGGACAACGCGGCTTCCCCAAAGCTGGCCCTGTCCTGCACTGACCCGCCGGGCACAGCCCATGCCAGTGCCTCAGCTCCCCAGCCCAGGTGATCCCACCCGGCCACAGCACTCACCTGTACACCCTGTTTTTCTTTTATTTGTCCCACGCAATTTTTCTAATGTACCTCGGGAGCCCAGCCGCCCAGGCATGAGCGGCGGCCCCTGAATTTTTTTCGTCAAGCACTGGAACCATCTGTCCGGAGCGGCTCAGCAGCATCGGACGCCGAGAACGACCATCGGCCACCTGACCGCGGGTGGCCCCAAGTCTCCGGAGCGGAAAACGCTGCGAATTGGACAACAAATAGTTCCCACCCTGCCAGCAGGACAGGGCTACCCTGGCTTCCCGGCTGCACCCAGGGCAGGTTGGTGTCAGGTCTGTGCCGTGCCGGGGTCGGCTCTTATCCAGACCCTGGGTGTCTGGGTGGCTCGGGCAGGGCTAGGACTAGACGCCCTTGGACATCCCCTCCACCCCACTCCTGTGCAGCGCTTGCTGTGCTCAGGCCTCGCCACCAAATGTCTCCTCTGCCAGGAGCGTCTGAGCCACCAGGTCCTGCCCCAGACACCGCGCTGGGAACGTTGCTTGGAGTGGGGGATGTGGGTCAGAAACCAGCTTTCCCAAGGGCTGGGTCCATGTCCACGCCAGCTGTGGACCCTGCACCCTTCGCTGTCCAATGCCAGAGGCAGGACAACGTCACTGCCTCTTGCACCTGCACGTCTAATGGGTCACGGGACAGGGCAGGACCCCGGAGCAAGGCTGGAAAAGCAGCTTCAGAACAAGAGCGGGTGGGAGCCCGGCCTGCGCCAGCCCCCAGGAAGGGGAGACGGGCGATGGGCTGGCAGGAACGGCCCAGCCCTCCAGCAGACTCGGGCATTGCCCTCAGCCCAGGGGGATCCTCCATCATCATCCTCCATCGCCCAGTCCAGCCTCAGGGTCTTTCCACTGGATCTGCCCTTGTCAGGACTTGTGCAGGGATGAGACGACACCATCTCGGGGGCCGAACTCAGCAGCTGCAACATCCCCTGTATCTTGAGCCTGAAAGGTCAGGTGTGGAGCCAGGGATGGGGTGGGTGGCACGTGCACCGGGAACAGCCCTGGCCTGGGCGCCTGCAGCCCTGTCCCCACCAAGGCCCAGAGAGAGACTATTTATTGTACAACAGTTTTTAATAAATCACAATAAAATAAAAAAGCTCTGTAATCCAACGCAAGACACTGGACAGCAGACGCAGCACCAGACACGCGTTCCACACATAACGCCCCCCCTGCGTCCCCTCCCCATCTGCTGTGGACACCAGCGGGGATGGAGGCCAGTGGGGAAAGCTCAGCACGGGGCCAGGCCCCACCAGCAAGGGCTGATGGACGGGGAGGGCCCCACTGCACCGGGGTGGAGAAGGGAAGGGGGCAGGGCTGGAGGCGTAGGCTGCAGTGGCAGCACAGCAAGCACAGCCCAGCCCTGCCGTGCATGGGCAGCTCCGGGAAGTGATTCGTGGCAGTGATGGGGGGCACGTTCGTGTCACAAACCAGGCACCAGAGTCTGTTGCACACACGGGTGCTGCTCGGGTTTGCAGCCCAAGCGAGGTCAGTTGTGAGCACTGCGTGTCACTGCGGGGGGACACTCTGGGAGGCGCTGTAAGGGAGTCTGGGCTTTTGATAGCATCCTCACCCCCATCTGTGTCCTGACCAGCCCCGCGGTGCTGGGATCACCGGGCAGCAGCATCATCCAGCAGAGCCCCACCGGTCCCCTTCTGAAGCAGTCATTGAAGCATCATACGTGGGGACCAAGGGCCCAGCGAGTCTCTGGCACGGCGGGGCCAGCCCAGCACTGTCCGCGGGCCGCAGGCTCCAGCGAGGCTGGTGCTGTGCACAGGGCGGGTCCGTGCCCCAGGCTGTCCTAGACCTGATCTGAGCTGCATCGTGCTCACGGCTGATGGCATCATCCCGGCATTTGCTTGGCAGGGTGCTGCCACATCCCACATCCCAGCCTCAGAGGCAGAGACGGCAGGGTCGTGGCCCTAGGTTTGCAGGGGGAGTCCACTCTGGACACAGCAGCAGGTGGCCAGAGGAGCCCTGGTGCTCAGGTCAGTCACCATGCAGCCCAATTTCAGCCGATACAATCACTATTTCTCAAAGCATCTGCAGGGCGCAGACTGTGGCTGGGCTTAGGAGCGCAGTCCCATGCACGGTCCTGAGGCCAGGAGCACAGGACAGGCCACCCAGCTCCGCATGTGTCCATGGCTGGGGGCGGGCCGGACGGCTTGCTCAGAGGGGGTTTCTCTGGTCAGAGAACGGCTGCACATGGAGGTCTTGCAAAAACAACCAATGCCCCCGGCTCCTGGCACCTTGGCATTGCCTGGCCAGCAGCTCCCGGCTCCGCAGCACTCAGGGGCTCCCAGCGGGAGCAGGGCATGGCCAGAGGCATCTCCGGCAACTGGGCCCTTTGCTGCTGGGGCCCGGCAGGGCCTTGGGTCCTGGTGACAGGGTATTAGATGGAGGTCTCATCGCACTTGGCCAGGGGGGCCCCAGCCAGGAAGATGCGGGCCTGGTCCTTGTCCAACTCGCTGATGTAGAGCGGGGGGAAGCCGTTGAGGCTCCCATTCTTGGTGGTGGCCAGGGGATGCCGCTCGTCCTCGGGGGAGCTGGGCGTGTGGGGCTCGTGGCTGCAGCTGGTCGTGTTCGACTGCATCAAGTCCAGCCCGTTCTTCTCCCGGTTGATCAGCTCCCGCTGCAGCCGCTCTCGGCGCCGCCGGTCGAGGAAAAAGCAGCCGACGCAGCCGAGCGCCAGCCCCAGCAGAAAGCAGACCAGCCCCGTCACGATGCTGTAACTGCGCCGCGTCTCCTGCCAGGCGCTGGTTGTGCCGCTGCCCCACACCAGACTGTAGGAAGCCGCAGTGGCACCAACACCGCCCTCCGTGCATTGGCAGACGTAGTCCCCCAGCATTGCAGCCGTCACGGTGAACTCCAGCCCGTCATGGCGCTCGGTGTACGCGTGGGCATCTGGGTTGGGTCTCTGCCACGTGCAGACAGACCAGGCGGACGGGGGAGCACAGGGGAGCACGACTCGGGTGCCCAGGGACACCGGCACCTCGGCCATGACCGGCCCAGCTGCAAGCGGGCCAGAAGCCAGGTGTTAGGGGAGGAGCCGTGACTTACAGGCAAGGCTGTGGGCAGGGGCGTGGGGGGCTCTCCTGGCATCCAGCACCATGCCCTGCTGCCCTTCCCTCCCTGAGCAGAAGGGAGCCCCAAAGGCTCTGGGGTTGGGGTCGTGGCCAGCTCAGTGCAGGCGCGAGTCTGGACCAGGTCCATATTCCCAGCAGCTGTACCGCACTCCTCACCCCACCCCAGCCTGTGGTGCACCCTTATAGCTCCTCTTGAGGGTGCTCGACGCTCAGCCAGGGATGCACACGCTGCACAGCCTCTCCCTGCTGTGGCTTGCAGCTCCCCAGCCCGCAGCTTGTGCAACGTCCACATTGCTCAGGAGTGTTTGTCCTCCCCCTGCATGTCCAGATCCTGGCTTCCCCCACCCCTCTCCAGGCACCCACCTTCCATCTCCTTCGGACACAGCCCCGAGATGTTGGCAGATGTGATGTCCTGCAGTAACCTGGCATGGGAGAGAGGCACGGATGACAGGAGTCCTGTGGCAGCAGCGGCCTCAGGCTGAGATGCCCACGGCCCGCTCAGCCCCTGGTCTGGGTAGGGCCTGGAGGGCATGGGTTTGCACTGGGTCAGCACCTGGTGCTGAGCACTGGGCACCAGTTACACAGCAAATAGCAGGAGGCAAAGGGACAGGAGCCACAGTGTCGGATCCAGTGGGTCAGCGACACAGGCCACCCCTGGAAACCAGTACCCAGTGGACCAGCGGACTCTGGCAGGGGCAGTCCTGGGCAGCTGGAGGGCCACAGAGACCTCTGCCACCAGCTGAGAGGACATGCCATGAGTAGGGCCAAGGGGCAGAAGGGGAGGGACTCACTCGCTCTGTCCCCGGTGCACAACGCAGGCACCCAGCTCACGGCTCCAGGCGCAGGCAGGGTCGCGACTCAGGATGCAGTCATGGCAGCTGCCGTACTGCTCACAGGCCGCGGTGTTGACCTGGGTCACGTCCATGGAGGAGCCCACGTACAGCCAGCTCTGTGTTGGGGATGGGCAGACAGCCGCAGGGGGAGGCTGGCATCCACCTGCCTGCCCAGGTGCAAGTGGGGAGCTGCACTCCTGGCTCGGCTGCTGCCCGAAGGTGGCAGGGGACAGGTCCCTCCTGCTCCCAGTTGAGGCCCTGGCTGTGGTGCTGACCCCACAGAGCTCCAACCTGACCCCGAAGGGGCGCAAGGCCCCGATGGACCATGCTCTGCTCTGTCCCAGCCCGGAGCCTGGGCTGCTGCCCATCTCTGCCGCTGGCCCCTACACCTGGATACCAGAGCCCAGTGCAGCAAGCAGGGTCCTGTTGTGTGGACCACGCACCGCCCACCCTGGCCTCTGCACCCCACAATGTCTGAGCACAGTTAGGCACCAGGCAGAACCCAGGCCAGGCAGGTAGGGAACCTGGGGCACAAGGATTGGGGTGATGGGGGCCACAGGATCCACCAGGCCTGCTTCTTCCGCCTCCCGGGTGCTGAGCTCTCTCATACACCCCATGTGTCAGGCATGGGGGCATGGGCTAGGCCACGCTGGGCACCGCGAGGACGCTGCCCCTCACCTGGTGGAGTTGCAGGTTCTGCACAGGCCGTGGCTCAGGGAAAAGCGTAAGGTCCTCGATGATGGCAGCTGTCGGGCCAATTTTCACCGCCTTGTGCAGGTGTCCGTCCTCTGAGCAGGGAGGGACTGGTGTGAGGGCGCAGCCACAGCAGCCCCCCCAGCCCTGGAGATGGGGGAGCTGCACTGCGGTGCAGGCCACATGCACCCTGCCTGCAAGACATACTTTCTCTGGCTGTGCCCTCCCCACCTGCTCCCCCCGCCGCTGCCACTCACCAGTGCCCAGGAACAGCACGTCGTAGTCGGTGCCTGTGAGGCTGCGGACACGGTGCACGGCGACCCGGTGGTAGGGTGCACCCCGTTGCACCACCAGCGGTGCGTGCTCCAGTGGGCGCACGGGCTGGTCCATAAGCGGGTGATCCCGGACGAAGGTCAGGACACGGTCGGGCAGGGTCAGCGAGGAGCCAAATCCAGCCAGTTTCATGCTGTTGGTGATGCACTGTGGGCACAAGTGGCAGCTCGGTCACGGAGCCCACAGATGCACACGCCCTCCCCTGCACCACACTGTGTGCATGCTCTGCCCCACACCCAATGTCATGTGTGCACACTGCCCCCCGATGTGGAGCATCCCATGCACACACTCTCCCCCACACAGTGTCATGTGCACACGCTGACCCCCACGTGGAGCATTATGTGCAGTGGCAATGCGTAGGGAATGCACGGGGGGGGGCATGTGCACCCCATGAAAGCTGGTGCACCCCCTGTCAGGCCACGCTTCCTGTTTAGCCGGCGGCCAAGGGGGCAGGCGGGAGCACCAGTGCCCATGGTCCGAGTGCTGGCTGGGGAACAGGGTTCCCAGCTAAGGCGGCTGTGCTCCTGCCGGAAGGGGCCCCCCCCCCCCGGTCAGTGGGATCGGCCGCTGAGGGACACGGCTCCCTGGTCACTGACTGGTGTCAGGGGGAGGCATGTGCTCCCCTGACTCAAGAGGCACCAGTCACCCATGACCATGTGCACCTAACCCCCCTCGTCCCCAACATACTCTGAGTGTCATGGGCAGCCCCATGTCCTCACTGGTGGTGCCCCAGCCTAGAGACAAGGGCCACGCCAGAGCCCAGAGCCAGCACGGTCCCCACTCCCACCGTAGCACAGGCCTGCACATGCATGGCCCCGTTGGCCTGCAGCTCCAGGTGCCAGCGCATCCCCTCACTCACCGTGCCAGGCCGGGGCTCGGGCACATCACTGGCTATGACACTCGTCCACTTCTCACAGTCACGTTTGAATTCCTTGAAGCGACCACTCATGGACTTCTGGACATCCCAAATGTTATAGGCACAGACGGCAGAGACCTCCCCGCCATCCCTGGAGGCAACAGAGATGGGGGTTACCCGGGGGCAAGATGGGGACTGCAGCCCTCCAGGGAAAACCCTTCTCTCCTTCCCTGCTGCAGCAGCAGCACAGACTGCCCAGGGGTGCAGCACACTCTCCTTCACCAGAGGCTGGGGAAGCAACTGGCTGGCATCTCCCCAGGATGGGGTAGGACCAGGGCATGGGCCCAGGGGCCCGGAGCTGCTTCCAGCCCTGTGAATCCGAGCAGCTGGACACGGGAAGCCCCAGTCTCGGGAGTGCCGACAGCGCAGGCCAGAACCCTCTCAAAAGCTCCACGCACGGGGCCCTGCGGACGCTGCGAGACACTGGGGAACAGCCCACGTGAGGTCAGGTCCAAGGCTCGGCTCCCACCCCTCACTTGGGAGCAAAGCTGCCTGGGGAATGGGAGGCCACGTCAGGGACAGCGGGGGCTTGGGAAAGCATCCAGGGATCAGAGCGAACCAGCAGCTCTGGACGAGCTCCCTGTGCAACACCGCACCCCGAGGGCTGGGGCAACTGTGGGACGTGTAGACCAGGGAGCAGCGCCGGGTGC